GTATTTCAAGCTTGTGTAGCATTTGTTGCACAAACACGTTGACACAATAGTGTGTTGCAAACTTCCCGGACCACACACGTTAGAAACAGCAACGCAAATTAAATGTATTAATTTCATAATGGTGAACAGGAATTCAAATGAGATTTCTCCCGCAGGTTCGGCTACTTCAAATAAAAATTCTCAACTATTCAAAACGACTTCGATAAAACTGGCATTACTGATCAAACGTACAAATCTGATGTACCAACAGGCAAAATTACAAAAAGGCGGGATATATCCTGTAAGCCCACTTTATATTGTCTTGACTTCGGGGTAACTATGCTTGTTTTCCGTACGAGAATGTTACCATCCAAATTTTACATGAAAACAACTCAATTTACAGCTTAAGTTGTTTGATAACAAATGGCATGCATGCATACAAAGGCCACGACAGGGTCCATGTCTCCTGTGACCGATGACCCCGTAACTGCTTTCCTGTCCTCGCCCGAAAGAGACGTCGAGACGTCTCCTTCTGCCCAAAGCTGTTGGCCACGACAGCGCGTGTCTAGCATGAGCTCCTACCTCTCATTCAGAAGATCTTCATGCCGCGGACAAAGCGATGCAAACCACGCGAGTAGCGCGTCGTCACAGATCCGGACCTGGTCCGGATCTCACGTATCTGCCGCCAGAACGCCTTCGTAGAAAGGCGAGCGGGAAGACAGCCGAAATCGCTGCGTTGTGGTGCTGACCTAGTGGTGAGATCCGTCCAGTGACGCCACATCCCATCCCGTGGGAGTCAGCATAATCGTCCCCGTATAGTTGTAGATTTTGGTCCAGTCTGAAGAAGGTTTTTAACAAGGCCTTGCCTATCTGATGTCCCCGACTGCGATCGTATCTTAAGCCTCGCAAGCGCAGTCATAATAATGAGCACGCCTTTCGAAGTAGTTTGTGTCGTTTGCAGTGATAAGCACTGCACGTTTTCAAAAGCACCAGACAGCTACGCAAGTGTCCAAATCACAGCGGGGATGACTACGGCCATTAACGACACAACCCGCTCTGCCTGGTCAGGGCTGCTCCGTCCCGTCTCGACGCTCCGCCGGCTGCCGGCCGCCCTCGTGCGTCCATCTCGGGCGTCACGCGCGCCGCGTCTCGGCCGCCGTCCGCCTGCCACGCTCCATCGAGCTGGAGCATCCCGCGGCGCTCCGTTAGACGACGGCCGAGCGCCGTGCCGACATTCCGCGGTCGGCCGTCGGACGGGTCGCCCTGCCGCTGCCGGCGGCCAGCCTGGTCAGCGGCCACCGACGCCGCGCCGGAGGGCACCGTCCCGTCCCGGCGCAGTGACAGACCGGTGCCCCGCGCTGGCAGCGGGCTCCGCCCAGGCCACGCACGTGCCTGCGGCGATGGTATGCAAATGACATGCGTCCGCGGCTTGAATAATTCTGATAACAGGGCACGTATTCATGTCGGCTTTTATTGTTTTCTACGACGCGCGTGGGCGCGCGCCGCCAGGCCGCGTCCAGTAACCTCTGTTCCGGACGGTGGCGCCGACCCATTTTCGGTAGCCTTTGCGAGCCCTTCCGGTGCTGCCATCATCCGTCTCGGCGTGACCGGCTCGGGATAATGGTGCGAGCCACGCCGGAAGTCGATGGCGCGCCCGCCGGCCGCGCGTCGGCCCGCGGCCAGTCACAAAAGGCGCTCGGGCGGCCGGTCACGACCTTCCCCCGCCTCCCGCCGGCCGCCGGCCGAGCCATCGAACGGCCGCGACGAGCCTGTCGCTGCTCGTCCAAGCCGGACGCGTATCAAACGAGGTCGCCGGGGTCGGCGCCCGTCATGGGGTCACTCCGCTGGACTCTGGACGCTTCCGCGGCGCTCACGGGCGGCTTGTGCCGTGGCCGTGACACGCCGCGCATTCGTGTCGGAGCCGCCCCCTCCCCCCTCCCCGTCGAGGTCCTGGCGGCGCCCTTCCTGATCTCGGCTGGCCGGCCGTCGCGTGACGCGACGCGCCCGGCTGCGGCCACGCGCGCCGTCGCCGCCCTGCCCCCGACAGGTGCGGCGGCCCGCTGCGTGGCGCCGCTGACCCACTTGTGTAAGTGGACGAACGGACGCCGTCCGCCGGCGATCGGCGTAATAGGACAGCGGCTTATAAGCTCAAATTTCGGCGGCGCGATCCCATGCGTAATGCGTCGATGCTGCGGAACCGCTCAGAGTGCCGTGTCGTTGGCAGTCGGGGCGCGCGGCGCCGTGTGTGAACGCGCGAGCGTAGGCGCCGGCTCGCCCCGGCCCGCGCCGTTCGAGCCGCGGCGACGTCGTGTGCTCCGAACGACTGGACCGTGAAAGGCGATCCGGCTCTGTAACGGACCGCCACCGGACCAGAGCACCGCCTGGAAACGTCACGGTTGTGGCGTCTGGGCCCTGACCGGCGTCAGGTGTGGCAGAGCCGTGCTCAAGAAGGCAGTGCCGGACCAGAGCACCGCCTGGAAACGTCACGGTTGTGGCGTCTGGGCCCTGACCGGCGTTAGTTGTGGCAGAGTCGTGCTCAGGAAGGCGGTGGCGCATGCGCGGGAGGGGCGGGGAGGTCGTATTCAGGGGTGCCGACCCGCAAACCTGGGCACTCCGATACCAGCCAGGGGGCCCTGCACGCCAACCGGGGGCCTTCTGAGTGATATGGGCCTATATGTCGGGTCAGGCGACACCAGTACTGCACAGTCGGTTCCGTGTCGGTAGGGGCGTGAGGGCCCACTTCCCAAGCGGTGACAGGGCTGAGGCCGACGATTTACACTGGTCGGGCCCTGTATCTGTTAGGGGCCCAAGGCGCCTAACGGGGGGCTCTGTGTTGAGCTCCTTGTCCCCATTGGATGGCTGAAGGGCCCGAACGGCTGGCTGTATGTCAAATTGAGGACCCTGTCGTACGACTGTAATATCGAATGTCAGTTAAAGGGTCTTATGCACCGATTGAGACCCCCGAAACAGTGCGTTCCTCTATTTCAACCAGAGATCACCAACACCGAACAGTCTTCTCTGTGTCGGTCTGAGATCTGGGGGTCCATTTCCCAAGCATGGACAACGACGGGCCCACAATTTTCCAAGGCTCTAGCAGCGCCGCTGCAGGAAGAGAGGGGCTTGCCCGGGAGCTGTGTGCCCTGCGTGAGCCTGTGTTGCGAGTATTGAGACTGAGTAGGGATCAGGCAATGATAAGGCGATATAGATAATTACGCAATGAACCCAATGATGCGATGGCAATGATCATTTCCAAGCAATAAAATGTGCATCATCTTCTGTAAACCATTTACGTTTGATTCGACTCCACAGCGGTCGGAAAAGCCAGCTTAATCCCATGCGCGAGCAGTGACTCTCTGGCTCTCTGACGTGCTCCTTCTGACCTCGCTGCTCAGACTCGTCCTGTCAGCGATATTTGCATACGAGCCCCACAGGACCAGGAAGCCGCCGCGTCGGACAGGCCCGTGCAGACGACACGCACGCGCGTGCGCTGAAGAGTAATGGCGCGTCAAATAGTACTGTTATGCGGCGATTCCTCCAGCGTCTCCGAGGCCCTGATGGACCGCAGCGTAATGAGGGGATTCACGGGATGGCTGTATCGCCAGATCGCACGCAAGCGCGTCTCTTTCAATGGGAGAAGCCATTACGGCTTTCAGTGGTAATGAGTGAGGTTTTGAATGGCCCCAGATATCAATGGTAATAAATTTGTTCCGCCTCAGATTCGGCGTAGATTACACGGTAGCAGGGTCGTCCCGGGTTTGAGTGATGGTATGTGGACGCACTAAAGGCGGTGGCAGACACCATTTCGTGAGCATCAGATGCGCCCGACATCGTGCCCGAATATAGGAAACAACGATGGACGGACCGGAGCACGACAGTCTCCCTAGCCTGCTGGCGGACCTGTCAGACATTGGTCTGGCGTCTATGGCCTCCGATGACGCCGCAAAATTAAGTGTTAAAATTCATCGGAAGTCAATATCATTGTATACGCCTTTTATGTTGGGAGATCGTTGTGAAGCTCACTGCATCATCGTTACGAAGTTGAGCTCTCTGGCGTCCGTTTACTTTGCACACGGTGGACGGAGGAAAGAGGCATCCCAATGCTGCTGAATTGAGAATTACGCTCTTCCTGTGTCATGCTATTAATACAGCATGGAAAAAACTTAAAATATCAGATGCTTGCCTCGCGTAAACGTGTGACAAGAGGTGGAGCGTTTAGCCTTATCGCTAACCACACTTCTGTTCGATCCTAACAATGGACCAACAATATTTGGTACAACAATATATCCTAGCAAGCACGAACAGATTTATCAATAAATTTTTAAGCGTACAACTCATTCAATAAATAAGAACTCTTTTATTCATAACACTTTTCGCGGCATTACCGCGTTCACAGTTTATTGCGAAATGGTTATGTGCGTGTTTTTCGTGTAAGGTTCGGGGTACAGCGCCATGGCGCTTGAAAGGCTGATCCCTCGGAAATCTAGAGGCTAAGGTAACGCTAGAAATCAAAGGCAGATGGCTCTACTTAACCAGCATTACAAGTGTCAGCACTTCATTTGCACTCCATCAGCACTCGCCGAGTTGGATGCATTCTCCTGCCGCCGTGGCGAACACGAAGTGCACTGCCACGTGCTGCCTGCTCTGCTCCCCTCCTGACCCTCCCTGTGACCGGCAGATGTGCTGCTGCCACTTGCTCCCTGCCTACCCCGCTCCCTCTAACCTGCGCTGTGACCGGCATTGTCACTTGCTCCCTGCCTACCCCGCTCCCCTCTAACCTGCGCTGTGACCGACAGGTGCGCTGCCACTTGCTCCCTGCCTACCCCCACTCCCCTCTAACCTGCGCTGTGACCGGCATGTGCGCTATCACTCGCTGCCTCCCTACCCCGCTCCCCTCTAACCCTTGCTGTGACCGGCAGATGTGCTACTGCCACGTGCTGCCCGCCGCGCCCCGCTCCCTCTGACCCGCGCTGTCACTTACTGCCTGCCTGTCCCGCCACTCTAACCCGCGCTGTCACCGGCAGGTCTGCACCGCCCAGTACAACGCCCCGGTCAGCCGACCCAGCAACATGCCTGAGATCTCCAACCTCGAGGTCATGTGCGGCAAGGACCACATGACCGTGCAGCTGGGCTTCGCAGGACCGTTCCAGGTGGGTGCACCGCTCCGAGTCGCCGGGCGACCCGGCGCCGGCTGCGCACACACGCACCACCGACGCTGTGTGCCCAGCAACACGCTGTTGTAGTGCTCCGCCTGTCGTTGGAGTTGATAAACTGGTGATCAGATAGGGGCTGGATGATAACCGTTTGCATGACACGACTAATCCGGTCAGGGTGTTTGGTAAAGATGGATTGCTCCTCTTTCTTATGTGCTTGAGTTCAATGAGCGTTTGTGGTTTTAATCCAGGTCGTGACTGCCTGCAGGCGAGGGAACGTGTATTTATTAGGACAGATGCATACCTTGGGCTTACGCTGTGAGATGTTCTTTGATAATTGGAGCTAATAATATACAACAAACATGACTGCAGTGGTGCAACGCCGAGACCGTATCCAACACCGAATCTAAGGGGAAATGTGTAGCAATGTGCCAATGAACTTCCAAATTAACCTTGGACGTAAATTCTTGAGTTTTCTCCGTTCTAACCAGCGTTGCCCTTTTGAAGTTGGTTTGGTCATCAGGTCTGGTTTGGGGGTTTTGAGCACTTGACTCATCTAAAAAACGTCCACAATTTATCAGCTATCACCTCCAATCTTTGTTTTAAATGCGACACCAATAAATGCAATGGGCTCAGACAGTGCAGAAAAAGTGACACCAGCTGTTCACTACCGTTTTAATTGAATACGTGAGAAATAGAAACTTTGTCACCATCTGCTGCTGACACCCTGTAATCTCACACAATCCATTTCCAAACTAGCTGGCATTTTTCACTCGCACGAGATCCTTCATTTAGATCCGAGCACACATTCGAGTGCACACCCATGATCCACAGTCTACCTACTGGCACAATGCTGCGATTCACCACCCCCACTCCAGCTGGAAAGCGCGCCCCCAGCCCCGCGCAGCTCCACCCTCTACAGCAGCGTGGGCGTCCTCTCGACGGCGCGCGCCGCCCGCGGCCGCGGCCCGCCCCAGCACCGGCCCGGCCCGTGGTCGGAAGCCGGCGGCGCAGGCGCCGGCGCGCCATGCCAATCACGTATTCGGCGGCCGTTAGCGGCACTTTACGGCGACGCCTGCGGGGGACAGCCGATCGCGGCCCGGCCGGGCGGCGGCCGGCTCCCGCTGGCGCGCCGGAACGGTCCGGCCGACGCAGTCCGGTGACGGTCGCGTCGGTCGCACGTTATACATCTCTGTTGGCGAGCCGCCGGCGCGGTTATGTTGATTTGTGGGCCGGCTCCATTTTTGTTTACCGCAAATGGAGGTGCGGCCGGCCGGTTGGGAGCGGGCGGGGTTGGGCGGTGTGGCTGGGCACGGAGCGCTGAGTGGGGTGCATGCAGACCGCCTGTCCACGCCAAACTGCGCGTGTTAGACGCAGAAGGGTGCTTAGTACCCGTTATGTGATCTGCGGATCATGCAGGGAGGCAAATGGCCGCGCTCCGCATAATTGTAAATTTAAACGTAAAATGCGTGATGATTCAGCGTGCTCTACCGGTATAACGGCGTCGTTTCCCCGTTGTTAAGTGCCACGGCAGCACGTGTTGCTCGCGCATTCAGAGTTTGCACGCTCCGTTTGCCCGGATTGGGTGGGTGACTGCTGGGAACAGTGTCAGACGGCCGGACGAGCGCCGCCGCAGCGTCTGGGCTACGCCGTCAGAAGTCCTCAAGAAAGTCGGCGTGACACGAGCCACGACCGTCAATGGCCTGGTGCGTAGGAGCGTGCTGACCACTGGGTCATTTTGTGGCAGAGGGAGCAGCGGTCCGAAACACGGAAGCGTCTTCCGTTTATGGAAGCCATCACATTCCGACGGCCGAGGGCGTCCATCAGTCACCTACGACTGATGCTTCGCCCTCAAATGGTCGACTGGGGTCTGTGAATGGATCCAGACACCCGCACGCAGGCCTACAACAGAGACGCACGGCTGTGAGGGGGCGTCGTCACCAACTCTGCACCAACGCATGTGAAGACGAACATCTGCAGATTGACGGGCTCAGGTGGCGTGCGGGACACCGGCGAGCACATCTACACACGAGCAGATCGGTAACAAAACGCTCACCCGGAGCCTACGCCATCATCACCAGCTTCGGAAGCACTTCTAATGCCCAAGACAAACTAACAAAGACCACAAACGAACCACTGGCAGCACTTGCAAACGCGCCATGAGCGTTCCCGTGCACCACCAACGCCAGCAGGTGGGGACGACGCAGCCGTGCCGCGCTATCCTTCGGCGAAGACGGCCAGGACGCGCCCCATCTCCGGTGCAGGTCCGGCTGGCTCTGACCGGCGGCACGTTAGCGGCCCGCGCCGGCGGAGTGCGGCCGGCTCCGCCGAGGTTGGCCGGCCGTCCTGACGCCGTGGGCGGCGCGGCACCGACCCGCGCCGGCGGCACGCGGCCAGCCCCGCTGACGTAGGCCGGCCGTCCCGACGCCGTCGGCGCCGTGCATGTCTGCATAGCCAACAATGGGTCACTGGGTGTGGGTCTCAGTGGGCAGTGCACGCTCCAGCGCGCTCGCCGGCGCGGCCCATCGCTGACCCATTTCCGCGCCGGCCGCGGTCCATTAACCGCGTCCCGACTCCGGACCGCGGTCCATTACGGCGGCGGACCGGCGCCCACCGCCGGCCATTGATTGGACCGGTCCGGGTGATGACAGAGGTTCGTTGAGGGGCCGCGTCCGTGTGATCATAGGGGTGCGCCGACGGCCGAGCCCGGGTGCAGAGCGGAATACATTCGCGAGGCGGGGCGTGGAGCGCCACTGGAGTGCAGACCGACGCAGTGGGGCCTCTTGTTGTGAGGCGAGCCGTGGGATGTTGTCGTCAGGGGTTTAATCACAGGGCTGTCAGGACGTCCGGTCCGTGTTGGTGTATGGTGAGCACGACGTGTTCGTTGCACGATGTAAGGAGAATCATTTGGTCCCCACTAGGGATAATCGTGAGTTGTCTCGCGTCGGTTATGTCGATAGTTCTTCATGAACAGTTGACCCAGCTTCATAGAAGGGTATGGTTCCCAAGTGATCAGTGAGTCATTCACAAGCCAGGACCAGTCTTTTGAGAGCTCTCCACACAGCCGCGGATGTCACTGCTCTGCGCATTGTTCTGTTGTCAGTAGGCGGGCTGAAAAGGAACAGTTTAACAAAAGCTCCGGTCCTTTATAACGATGCCTCTGCTGATACGCCACCACGGTTCATTCATAAGGTTTTTCGTGGACGACGTCGACATTTCGTTATCGGGGCATGGGCAGAGAGAATCGCACAAAAGAAAGAGGGTGCAGGGACCTTTTTAAGTTGGTTATGACTGTGTATGAACGTAGTTAATCTGAAACATTCACAGGAGGTGGCTGGGCCAATCCCCATCCCACCGCACCCCCACCCCTAGCTCCATTATTTCTAAGCCTGCATATCACTGAACAACCATCTATCACTCTTTAGCATGATCCAAGAAAGCTACAACAAAAAACTGATCGTTCGATTGCCCCCATATACCACAGAACTCACGCTTCTTTATAACACCTCCGCCTGAGCCTCTCTAAAACGGCCACGACTTACACTACTCGTGGTGCATACCGTGATGCAGTACGTGATATTCTGCTGGTCGGCCTTGTTGTCTCAGTTTATCACCGTATCAGTGCCGGCGCCGGTACACCTAGCATGAATCGTGTCAGCGATGCCTATCTCGGCCGTCTCCGCCACCCACCGCGCCATGCTGGCCGCCGTTACGACGCCGTACGTCTTGTCGCGACCGTGTCTGTTTGCCAAACCGGCGACGTTAGTCGCGGTGTGGCTGGCGGTGCGCGGCGCGCGCCGCGAGGCGTCCGTCGACAGCGCGCGGCGTGCGAACGCGGCTGGTACGGCGGGCGTGTCGACCGGGTGACCGCATCGTGCAGCCACCGTCAGCTGCAGACCGCGCTGCCATCCCAGTGGCCGTGTCCGCCCTCGGTCCCGGCCGAGCCGAGCTCCGGCCGGCCGGGCTCCCGCTCGTGCCGCGTGCCGCTGACCTGGTGCCGGCGAGCGTCGGAGCGGCGCCGCTGACCCCGTGCCGGCGCGGGTCGCCCAGATCGGACCCATCGTCGGCGTCACAGCTGAGTGCCGCTCGGCCGGACCGGTTCGGCGGCTCGTGCGGCGCGCTGTCCGGCGGCGGCCGACGGCACCGTCAGTCAGTTTTTACGGCAGATGGCCGGTGGCGGGCGGCAGTGCATGGGCCGGGCCGGTTCCGTTGTTGGCGCTGGCGCTTCCGGGGGGGGGGGGGGGGGCCTGGTGTTGCTGTCGCGGCCGTCAGCGGTGCTGGTGCTCACACCAGCGGTGGTGCGGCGCTGGAAGTCCGGCGTTGCGGCCGCGGCGGCGGAGTGTTGGTGGACGGGGCCGTCTGCGCGCCAGATGCTCGGAATTTGGATTTGTGTCCTCGGTCACCAACAGATGCAGCAGATGGCTGTAGCGTCGTAACGGGAGCCGTCAGAAGCGAGAGGCAGAACGGGGAATGTGATGGAGAGGGTGGGAAACAAAGGTTTATGAGCCAGCCTGAAAATATGGCTGATTGGATGCACCTGACGCATGCTTCTTCAAATTCCGCGCATCTAGATTCCGCGAACCGGCCATCGCACAGCGCGTCTCGTCCCACACCGCCGGCACCTCCTGGGCCCGGCTCGCCAGTCGCCACTCCTCAGCCCTTCCTCCAGTCCCAGCCCCGGCAGCGACATTCTTTAAACATCACAGCTGACCTCAGCGGAGCGATCCGTTCACGGGTCGGTGATTGGCGCGCGGCGCTCGGAGCCAGAGCCGTCCGGTCTGTCGCCCAGAGCCAGAGCCGCCCGGTCTGCCGCCGAGCGGACACAAGCCGGCCGCCGAACCCATTGATAACACGTCGGCTGGCGCGCCTAATTACCGTCAGAGTTATGATAATCGTGCGGCCATCTGGCACGTCGACAGCGCATGCGCCGCGGCGTGATGAGTGCAGTCAGCACGAGACGAGCAGAGCACACGTGACCAGACCGTCTGGAAGCACGTGTGCTCGCAGACAGGTGTCGTCGGGCCGGCTGTGCTCGATGGTCCCGTCTGTGGGAACGTGCTTGGCTTCTTGCTGGTGCGCGCGAAGGGTTCATGAACATCGTGAATGCAGCATGGTCGATTGTGTCCCTGCTTAAAGGAGTGAATTGAGGATAAAAACGGTGCTTGTCCTGAAAACGTGAAAGGCATGAGAAGGCCCGTTTTTGTCAGAGGATTTTGCACGATGCGTGACCCTTTTTATGCCTTTTACAGGGACTGGTATTCTCCAAGGGGCAGTTCAACAGTCAAAACTGCGTGTACGTCAAACCTTACACGGGTCTCGGAGCGTACACCTTCGATATCTACTACAACAAGTGCGGGACCAAGCCTGACCTGAACGGCAAGTTCTACGAGAACACTATCATTGTCCAGTACGACAATGAACTCATCGAGGTAAGAGTCATGCTATTGAAATCGCCAAGCAGGACCGAACATTTTCACGACAGTGCCCGTTCTTGTCACCGTTTTTGTCGACGGTGTGGAAAAATCCGGCACCGCACAGAAGTCATGTTGTGTGACTCTAATTGAGGACGACCATGCCTCTTCTTTAGCTTGTCGTGCCGTTATAATTGCTCACTATCATGTAAATGCAGTCATGCAGTATCTCAATCTGAGCTGTGATTATCTTTGATAAAATTCGCTTTAATCACCTATGTGCGGCGCACAAACTGATCAAGCCTTTGGCACTGCCCATCGATTTCTGCGAACGCTTGAAGTGAACCGCTATGTAATTTCCTGTTTAGGTCTGGGACGAAGCTAAACGTCTGCGCTGCGAGTGGTACAATGATTATGAGAAGACGGCGACCAAACCCCCGGTGGTGATCGCCGACCTGGAGGTCATAGAGCTCAACTTCAGAGGTCAGTGTGCAGCCTTCGTAGTGGGCCCTCAGCGGTAATCGAATTAAATTCCCTCGGGTTCAACGATCATAAAGTGCAGGTCGGGCCGACTTGGCTTCAAGGCTGCACAGGGACGCGCTGGTGCTAGCACCACCTCGTCGCCTGCAGTCCCAGATCCTGCACCCTTGCCGCGGCGGGTGACGCTGGCTCGTCGCCTCGGGCAGCCGCCGGCCTGTAAACCATACAGCGCGCGGTGCCGCCTGGTGCTGAACCCGCGACCGCTAGCTCCCGATTCCATCTCCACGCCCCAGTGGCGGGCCCGCCTCCGTCTCGTGTCCCTCGTCCATCACCGTCCCCAGTCGCGGCCGACTACATTAGTTCTGTCGACCCCACGAACACGCCCGCGTTCGACGCTGATAGTCTAATTACGCAAGGGCACCCCAACACCGGCTCCGCACACCCGCCTCCCACAAGTGACAAGCCGGCAAACCGGCAGATGTAAGCCTGCCTCTAACGGATTCCTGTTCTCGTCGTAAGCTCTGAATTTATTAAAATTCTTCGACATTCATAGCCCGTGATTACCACCGCGTTAAATTCAATTGGCGGGCGCGCGCGCCGGCGCCGGTCGTGGCGCCTGTCTAATGAATGGGAGCGCACGGTGCGGCCGGTGGTCGCCGTGTCCGTCAGATGGCGCTCACCCCAGCCCGGCGTCCGTCGCCCGGTCCGTTAAGGCGCCAGCCCGCTGCGACAGATAACGCGAGCCTCGCCGGCTGCGCCTCCGCAGGCACGCAGGCGCACGCACGCGCAGATAACGCGAGTCTCGTCGGTTGCGCTCCTGTAGGCGCGCAGACACACGCGCACGCAGAGGCGCCCCCACCCGCCACAAAAGCCAGGCGATTCGTTCTCGGTAGCTGACGGGGCATCGGTGGTAGGCTGGTGTACAGTCCAGGAAGCGGGGGGGGGGGGGGGGGGGGCGAACGCTCGATGGAGGAGGGTCCGTCTATCGGAGCCTCACTGAGCGCTCGCGACACTTCTCACTGCTGGCCGCGGTCGTGCTGGCCGTTCTCCGCGCCCGACGCCTTCCTGTCCGGACGCTGTTCCTCCGCGCCCGACGCACTCCTGTCTGGACGCTGCTCCTCTGCGCCCGACGAGCTCATGTCTGGACGTTGCTCCCTGCCGAGCTCCTGTCTGGACGCTGCTCCCTGCCGAGTTCCCGTCTGAACGCTGCTCCTCCGTGCTCAACGCACTCGTGTCCGGACGCTGTTCCCTGCTGAGCTCCTGCTCGACAGCCTCTAAAGTGCAGCCGTCACGCCCCACTGCCCCAGCTCGAGTCCACGCGGTCCGCCGGCGCGGCTGTCTGTCGGACCCAGAGACTTCAAACCGCCTCGTCGAGGGGTGGCGCGAGAGTAAGCATGCTTTCCATCAAGCCGCCAGGATACCCATATTACGGACCTTCTTTACGCCATCAAAATCAAGTGCGTCGCGTTTGATGTCATGATGGGAGGTCGGAATCACACGTGGCCGAACTAACAGAGCGTAAAATCGCAGTTAAAACGCATGGCTTTCTACTTGTGATCCCGCACGTTGACGGAGGTCAGTCAGGCTGCACTTCCGTTCCCCGCGCCCGGCCAGCGTCATCACTCTCGTGTGTGTTGGTTGGCGGACCAATGGCGGCTCGTTTTGGGGCGCCCGCCGTCATCCATCTTCCGCTCGACTTCCTGATTTATTTCGGGGGCAGAGTTCGCCGCCGTCGAGTATGGCGCACCGCCGGTGCTTGGCTTCCATCCCTTCTGAATGGGCCGTCAGTGGTACCGTAGTGCCGCCGTCGCTACAGAGGTACCCAGATTGGGCAATGTAGTTAGCTAAATATTTTGGTCGGCAAGGTTATTCCAATCTTGTTGAAGTCCACGGAAGAGAAACATACTTTCTGAGCGTTAATTCGTGTTCGCTCTGATGCTTGTTCGTCGTCGGGTCCCTTCATCTTACCCCTCTGCTCCACTCCGGTACTAGTGGGCCAGTGGACTCCTGAGACCTAGACCTGTGATGTCATGAAGGTTGGTCCGCAACGCTCGTTCCCTGGGCGATTGTGGCGACTTTGTATGTAAATCTAGGGCATGCAGAGCTTTAATAAAGATGCCGAGCAAAACGATTCTGTGTATCCTGTTCGGCAAGGAGCGAGTACGTCGGAAATGGAAGGTGTCGGGACCCATAGTTGTGGCTCATTTTGATGACTTGCCTTCTTGCCGGTAAAGGATAGCAAACATATAAGAGCATTTCACCATCACCTCGCTTCCTTAAGTGATAAATCACAGAAGAGATACTTTAGAGTCCTTACGTTTTAAGTCCAAGCGCATTGCAACGTCACTTGGCTTTCGTAATGCAAATCTCACGATGTCGCAGTAGTCGACCTCAACCTGCCAGTCCGTCCATTTCCTGCTCGGCGTGTGTGCTACTTTGAGCATGAGCGTATTGTGCACTGCGTTCGCTTCAGGGAAGACCATTAGGTGGTGTACTCCATTCGGTGTCCAAGCCCATCCAAGTTAACGGCTTTCTGACTTATATACACCCTGCGCCCGTGCTATTGGATCCATAGAAAGGATAGAAAGGATATAGATGTACCCATAGAAAGGATATAGATGATGATAATAGATGTAATTCAGAGACCAATAGTTAGTGACCAAGTAGACTATCACTGTTATTCACGTGCTGCCTAAGTCGCCTTGTCTACTGTGGCTGTTCCCTCTCCGTTTGGTTTGTTTGCTTTCCTGGGCATGCTGGCGGTCCCTAGGTAGTTATTTCACGCAGGTCGAAAGCCTGGCAGCCAGGAGAAAACTCGAGAGAAGACCACCTTGTGCTTCCTCTAATACGACCCCTCGTGGTGCAAGCTGACGATCAGCAGTTGCTGTAGCGATCGCGCGTGGATTCCATTTACTCGGACATCTAGTCGTGAAGGTGGAGAAGAAGCCCAAATATGTTTGCAATGACTTACACGCTATATAAGGCTACTGCTTCTATCTGCGTGGAGGGCACAGTGTCGTTCTGCGCGTGACTCACCGTGACGTTGGCACCTTTTCCAGGAGACAATGTGGATTGCTGGATGGAGATTCAGGACGGCAAGGGTCCGTGGGCCAGTCCAGTGACCGGCATTGTGCCGCTGGGATCCACGCTGACCATGGTTGTGGCCATCAACGACCCCAACGGTGAGTGAGGGAGGAAGCGGCGGCCTAAACAGACTATCGTGCGCATGAGTACGCCGAGGCCGATCAAGGATCAACAGCCCTGGTTATTCATTCCCGTTTAAGGGCTTTTTAATGTTCGGTACTGGTGGCAAGTGGTTATCATGCTTAATTAATGGAGCTGGCACGCACTTCGCGACCTAGGGGGCCGTGATCCTATTGGGTTTATTTCAATGGCGTGCAATAAACGAAACATTTAAAACTGCAGTAAAATCAACGGCATGGTTAAAGGTAAGTGGGTCCACAGTGATTAGATCCAAATGCCTCGTACTGGAGCAGCCTACGCTTTAAAGCAGCACAATCAAGAGGAGGCTTGCCTCCGACATTTGCAGACGTAGATTGGCTTCAGCAGCCGTTGTGTAGATATGCAATCGCTGTTGGTGGTTAATCCTGTGCGGCTAACCCTAGCATTTGCCTTCAGCCGAGTTCGACATGCGGGTGAAGGAGTGCGAGGCGTCGGATGGCAAGGGCCGGCCCATCTACCTCTCCGACCAGGACGGCTGCGTGCTGCGGCCCAAGATGATCAGCAAGTTCATGAAGCTGCGCAGCAACGACGGCCGCTCCACCGTCATCACCTACGCCCACTTCCACGCCTTCAAGTTCCCCGACAGCATGTACGTGCACCTCAAGTGCAAGGTGGAGATCTGCCGGTACGGCTGTCCCGACCATTGTCAGAAGGCCGTGGCCGGCGGCTACGCGTCACCTAGCGCGCCGCTGGTCGCCGCCGGCTCCAACTACGACCCGGTCGTCTCCAACTCGGTGGAGGAGTCGCAGCCGGCGGCCGAGCCGCGCAAGCCGGTGGTGGTGCAGGCCAAGCTGGAGGAGGAGTACCAGGCGGCGCCGGCGCCGGCACCGGCACCGGCACCGGCGTCCGAGCACTTGCAGACCGCGCCCGCCGACGCCGACGCTTACGCCCCGGCGCGGCCCCAGGCGGTCGTGGCCGTGCCGAAACTGAAACCGAAGCGGAAGCTGAAGCCGAAGCCGGTGCCGGGCGGGTTCCGCGGCCCAGCGCGCCGCCGCCAGCCGCCGCTGCGGCGCCGGCCCGGCCGCCGGCCGCTCCACCAGCGCGTGGACCTGGTGCGGCCCGGCGGCGGCGGCCACACCATCCGCGGCATCCCACTGCCGCTGCCGCCGCGCGACGGCATCAACCGCATGGACATGCCGGCCGACCTGCCGCCGCTGCCGGCGCATTACCAGCCGGTGCTGATCGCACCAAGCACGCATGATGTCATCGGCAAGCCGCAGGCGATCCCGGTGCCGTTCAACACGGACGGTCGACACGCGGAGGCGGCGTCGCGCTCTGCCGCGGCCGACACGCCGGCCGAGGCCGTGCGAACCTCTGACGCCGGCCTGGGCGGCGTCGACCGCTCCGAGTTCCCCTGGGGACCGCGCAAGCTCAAGATCCGGCGACGCCGCTTCGTGGTCGACGAGCCGGCGGCCAAGTCGGCCGACATCGGCGTCGCCTCCACGCTCGAGGTCATCTCGGAGAATGACCTGCAGTTTGAGCCGACCTACGAGGACAACCAACGCGTGACCATCTTCCAGGGCCAGATCCGGGACGACATCGTGTACGGCATCTGTCTGCCGGCAGCCGGCTTCTCGGCACTGTTCGTGCTGCTAGCCATGTGCGCAGTCATCTCGGTGCTGGTGGCCGGCTTCCTTTGCCACCACAGGCAGGTGCAGAAGGACTCGAGTCGGCAGCCGGCAGCCGTGCCGCTGCGCGACTGGAACATGGTGGGCTTCATCCGACAACGGTTCCAGCCGGCGCACTGAGCCGGCCGTGCGCTCAAGCGAGCTGTCCTGCCGCACCCAGCCGTCCGTCACGTGACTCCGTCGGTGGCAGAGGCCGGCCGTGGCAGTGACCCCCTATCGGCGGCGGCTCCGGCCTAGAAGCGGCGCTGGTCCTCTCGCCTTTCGAGTATGCAACGCTGTCGCCCGGCGCAGTCGCTTTCAGGGGTGGTCCGTCCAGATACGGCGCTCTCCAGCGGCGGGCCGCCCCGACGCGGTGACCTGACGTGTCGGGGCAGGGACGCTGGGGCGACTGACACGTGAGACGAAGACCGACGTCAAAATTACGCCCAGGAGCAGCGCAGCCGTAAAGACTGGCAGAGCCACCGGGCAACTGACGGGAGTGACTGGTTGAGGCATCGGCCAGCTGACATCAGTGACGCGGAGACGGACTCATGGCTCACTCGCTGATTGGCTGAGACAAGTGCAGTCCGCTTGTCTCAGCCAATCAACACCTGGAAGGCTCAGGTGATGTCCACCGTTAGCGACATTACTTCAAGATGCCTTTTGGGAGGATGACACGGTTAGGTTTGATCATTATGAAACGCCCTGAGACGTGAGTGAGTGGGACAGCACAGACGCAGAAGAATGGTGCACGTGGACGAATTCATTTGCTCCTTGGCTTTGCCTGCAATGCTTGCACTTCCGGGATCATTTACATAACATTATCGATGAATAATCCATGAGAACAGATTTAGTCCTGTGACTATTGCATGATAAATCTGAGCACAGGATTAGGTACTATGCTGTCTATCAAGTTTTGTAACGACCAGTTAGGTATAATGGCTCATTCAAGTCTTGGAGTGTTTAATGCTGACATTTTCATTTTAGCTGACATTTGACGAATGCTTGATATGTATGCCTGTTGTTTATTAAGTGGGCGCGTTTCATTAAGTCAGGTGCACTGCGACCGACGTGCGCTCGAAGAGCTGCAGATTCAAAATGGCGAACGTGCACCTGACGTAGCGCGTTCGGGATCGTGCAGTGACAGTACTCTGATTTTTTGCTCAATTTGACACTTCACACAGGTGTCAGACTATGAAGCAACGTGTAATTTATAGACACCGATTGTAGGCATTACCAGCACACTAACAAAATAACCAGCTTGTCTGTGTTATGCAATTTGTTATGTTTCTAAGCTCTTTTGTTTTTGGCCTGTTGTTCTCCGTTATATTCAGGCTTACAAACATATTGTCACGACAAACATTAGGTATGTTATGTTTACTGTTTTTTTGGTGTCCTAATGTTGTATGTCTTCTCTTATTTATTAAACTATTTATGATTGAGTAATAAATAAACGATGACTTCGTTGCTGTTCTTCGTGCCCACCGCTTCCTGGCAGCACAGGGGCAGTATGATCATTCCGTCGCTAGTTTATTCTAGATCATTTCCAGATGTCTATTTCCCACATAGCATGGCTGAGCTCAGTAACGCATGCTCTTTCACAAAACTGCTCCATTGACGATGTTTGGCCATGACACTGGACGCAGATAGCCCAGACATACAGCAGGTGCGGTGGGTGCGCAGCCGGCCTTAATTTTCTTGGACTTTCCCATTGGTGTAGATGTGGCGACACACAATGCATCCCTCCGTCCTTAGTCCCGTGCGCCCATAAGCTTGAATCGGTCCGCCCCTTCATTCGGCCTAGGCCGGGCAGTTTGCACTGGCTTTGGTTCCCAACAGCGGCGGCGGCGCCGAAGCCTGTGGACACTGCATGAGTCGACCAGTAACCCGAATGGCCCAGCCGTGGCGTGGCCCAAGGGACCGAGGTCTTCGGACCGCCACCAGTCTGCTTAAGTATCGGCAAACCAAGCTTGTCCAAACAAACATAGCTGCAAATTTATTTTCAAGACTGATATAAATACGACGTCATCTATTTGCGCTGAAACCGCCTCACTGTTGGCAGTACGGATGCGGGCACGTTACTGTATGCTGCACTCAAGGAATACCTTGACGCCCGCCTGATCCTTAGCTGTTTAGACAGCTGTTGAGAGTGAGAATATGCTAACTGTGGTGAGCTTCTGGCTGCGCCTGTTTGCCCTTTTTATTCGGGTAGCCAGTCATCATATCAACTATGTGGGTCGATAACACCTCCTCCTCCATTTCTATTTGCGCCTGTGTGAGGGGACCGGACGCTCGGTACTGCTGCCACCTTTTGGTAATCGTTCGAACAAGAGATTCCATTGTATACCGTTGTTCAGCAGCCGATTCTACTTCATCGATCGATGACAAGTTGTCAAGCGTGTCGAATATTGTCTCGTAGCCGCTTGGATAGGCATGGTAGAATGTCTGATTCTCATCTTCCAGTAGGTACAGCAGAGGCTTGGCCATCATCGACGGGAACTCCTGAAACACCGTAACCAGTGTTACCCATGTCATAGTGGAATCAGTATCAACCAGGATCGAAGCAGAAACGACGCACCAAAGCCGTCCACATCACATAGCTCACTTCGTGGGCAGACATTGCAAATCCACCCTTACTCGTGTCACCTGCAATGGTGACATGCTACTGTCGGAATCAAGTGCCTTGTTAGTCGCATAAACCTAGAAAACCCGATCACGTTTTGGCATAGTTGAGCTACGAAATAAGCCAAGGGCCCGAATAAAAAGTGCACACATCCAGGCCAGCACAGCTTCATCCTGAACCATCGCAAATAACAGCAGCAGAGATGGGGCAATGTACGTGGGAGCCAACACGGCCTGACCGCGATCGTGACGCCCGCCGCGGGCCGTGACCAGCCGTGATGGCGACGATACGGCCCGTGACTCTGACATCTGAGTCGTGGGCGGGAGGGCGGCCGGCAGCGACTCTGATGGATCACACGCCCCGCTCTCCGGCGGGCCCCGCCCGTTCACACGGCCGTCGGACACGCCGCGCGGCGGGGGGTCGGGCAGGGGTCAGGTGGAGGTCATGCTGCACGGACGGTTGATCAGCCTGCTCGTCATTGCACGCGGTTCGGGCTTTGCAAAGATGATGATGCATGTCGGCCTTCATTGTTGCGTAATGTCAAGGATCTCCCTGGAAAAACTGCTGCTTATGCTTGACCAGACTAGCCTTATGACTTCGTGGAACAAAGGGAGCGAAGCGAATGGGTGACACGCATTTTTTGTTGCCCGGGACGGAAACGAGGCTAGCCACGGGTGGCTTAGGTCAGTCCTGTAACCTTACCGAAGAAAATAGAAGCCATTGCTTCGTGATTTATCGTCGTGTCACTTCGCGAGCGTCACTTATTGACCTCCCCGGGCCTTCTGACCTCCGATACGCTGACCCTATCACTGAAAGGTCATAACCTACCGAATTAAAGTAGCAGGTGAGTTGTGGTCCACGCAAAAAAGCTCCAGCCCCAGGGGCGACGCGTTCCGTCCGTGCGTGAGCTGTGATCTAAATGTAGTAAATGTAACGGCAGAACACCAATCAGACTAAGCTCAAGTGCACAGGGTACAGGCTCAATGGGCAGCGTAGCAAAAGCGACAGCAGCAAAGCAGTTGACAGGAATGGGGAAGGATAGCATCATGATGTCACCAGCGTGCAAATTGTTATCAAATATAAGCTGCCAGCCTGTAAAACCTGTGAACCACGGGTGTCACTCTCTAAGTTCGGTTGAGAGCTCAGCCGAAAAGATTGGCTAGATCTAGCCCCCGCACTTGACTTCTCCCAGATTTCGTTCACTTCAAGCTGTGTGCTCCATGCTGAAGTATAGATGCTTTCCTGTGGAGTACTGACCTCTTATTTCAAGATAATGCGAACTGCATTTCGTGCAAAGCTTGGAATAGGATATAATTTACAGAAAAAACAATATCAGTTAATCTTAGTAACAGATCAATGATGACTACCGCTGTCATTGATCGCATTGCATAACCACCACAGCCATGATTTTGCGACAAATACACTTGTTACTGTTGGGAAAAACATGCGTTAACTTTCATCCGGGTCACCTTGTACTTTCAAAAGCTGCCGTATCTTGTAGTCAATTGTTCTTGATCCCAATTCAGGCACTATCCTTTGAAAAATGTCGAACCTTTGCGGACTGGCTACTGTATGACAAAAATATTTAGCCACTTGCAGGATATGTAGTACAAAATGAGCATGACGCTTCTATTAATATGTCTAGGTACCTACTACCTAGTATACCAATAGCTAAGACAACTGTTCTGTATTTATTAGGCCCAGTATTCTCTCTTTACTTATATGCAATGATGAAGGTCTGAGGATCATTGGGGAAAACTCAGGTTAGCATTAGAGCACTCAACCCCCCCCCCCCCCCCCCCGCCCCTTCCTATAAAAGTATATAAAGTGACACCCACAGCGTTAACGGATTGTAAAAAATACATAATCAGATCACAGGAACAAACACCACCGAACCATAATATGGATGACGTCAGGTCTACAACATGCCACTGTGAAAAGACGGCAGGCATTTTCTTTGGTTCAAGAATGATATCCTTCATCCTCGACCAGGGCTGGTCACAGTACGCCTACGTAACAGCGAAGTGGCGGCTCGCCGGTAACCTACGCTCCCCCCACCAGGGTGACGGTCTGGCCCAGGCTCAGATGGAAGATGTACCACGGAACTTTACTACAAACCATAGCCGAAATTTGACAAGCCCAATGGCTACTAAAAAGGCAGCACTTAGGTCAAAATGTGGAGAGCTGTGCCGTGTGTCTTCTGATCCCCAGTCGTGTATGTGTAGGCCAGTTAAAATATCCCTTCTATCCCTAAAATATCCCTAAAATATCCCTAAAATATCCCTTCCTTGGCGTGACAGCGGATACCTGGAATGCAGAGTGAGGCCTGCCGCTGGAGACTCACGCTCCCACTTTAACAATGCATCCCATTCGCTAAGAAGTCGTAGAAAAAGGAGCAGTTTTTGGATACGCAAATATCCCGCTTATAGTTGACTTTATGTTATAAGTTGTGCTGCGTGCATGCTTAAGGTGTGCAAGCAGGTGAATGCTGCCATAGCATCGAGCGGTTTGCACCGCTTGAGAGCAACGTGGACTGGGGGTCCTATTTTAAAGTTCATACTAGTTCGATTAGCCCCGAGGTGGTGGCGTGTCCAGCTGGGAATGGGGCTTGCCACATATGTGTCAATCGGCTGAACTAGAAATGTGCACGGAGAACGTAGCATCAGCACAAAGTTATCTTAAAACGTCCGCGCACGGACAATGTATGTAGGAGAAATGAAACGCAGCGTTCGTGACCGGTTTAATGTACACTTAAGAAACGCACGTCTACGAAGACCGTACAATCCACCAGACAAACACGTTGAAGGGCGATACACGGCAGTGGATTACGTTCCTGAAATACTAGCTTTGACGTGTAAATTTTAACGACCGCAAAAGACAACGCAGATTCCAGGATACTAGAACCGCAGCAAATTTGTTACATTCGTCCGAAGCTGAGCGAACAAACGTCGCCTTGGGACTTGGTTTGATGGAGGGATGCTTACGTTATGTGCACTTACAAAAAGTTAGCTTGTCGTTGAAGTGAACACTGGCGCTCACTGCTGTATTTCTTTTGTTCTACGCCAGGCACGTGTCCAGGAAAAATTTTGGCTTAGCCGGCTTCGCTTCCGACCGCCCTCAGCACGGTACCGCGTATTGTGTGCCGGGGCATGAGGCCTGGATGTCTGGACTGCTTGTATGCTCGTGCGGTATCATGCAAGTGTTAAGTTGGCGGTAAACAATGATCTAACCTTATACTCGGTAATTTGTGAAAGCCATATGCCTTAAACCCGGTAACCTAATACTTATGAAATTGGCAACATATTGTCGTCGATTCTCCGTCCCGATCCCGCTGTTAGGTGAAAGCCTAACTCATGAAAACCTCGTGAAAACCTATGAACATTTGCGGACTGGCTTAGCATTTAAGAAAGCTCGCATGACAGAAATGCATGATGCGGGACAGCATGTGATACAAATTTGGCTCTGATGAACAGCAGTTCAGCAAAACCCATTTTAGCTGGGCGATCCCATTAGAGCCGGCGCAGGACCGTGTCTTACCAGACCCAGCGCAGCTTTCGTTCTCGCCAGAGCTAGCACAGAGGCCGGGCTCATCAGAGTCAGTACAGAGGCCGGGCTTACCAGAGCCAGTACAGAGGCCCGGCTCATCAGAGCCAGCTCAGCGGCCGATCCCACCGAGGCTAGCAAGGGGCTGAGGGATTTCAGAGACGCTTGAAACTGTGACTTATCTGTGAAATTTGTTTTCCTCTTGCAAGATATGGATTTGTTACTATTTAAAAGAGCGGGCGCATGGTAATGTGGGCTAGTTTCCTCACTGAGGGGACCCAGCCCAACACCGGCGGGAGGGGGTGGGGAGTCGGGCCCCATATGGGTGGAATGGCCCCCGCAACAAGATGCGAAGTTTCCGCCGCGGTACATCAGCTGATGCGTAAGACAGGTGTTAACCAACCGAAGGTGCGAATGTGTTCTCTGACACGTGCACGGTGTGAGGGGATTCCAATCAAGGGGAGTCGCGCGTGGTGGTTCGGTATTTGGTTCGGTATTTCCACGGCAATGTGACAGTCGTGTTGTGAACATTGCGTTTCAAACAGACACAACAACGAAAGAGACGCAAGAACAAGGGGCTATGGGGGAAGAGGGGCTGAGCGATTTCCTGAAAAGTTGCTATTAGCCGTATGGGTGGTAACTGGAAAGAAAGGACAAAAATGGACATCGGCCCTAAGCTTGGGATACCTCCCGGTCCCCACGGATGTATCAAGTACATTTAGCGTTCTCTACATGAGTTGGTAATCCTGCTTGTTTCATCGGAACGCTTGCATGCGTTTGACAATATTGGGTCTCTCTAAAGCTGTGGGGGCCGTCTCTACTTGTAAAGCTGTGTGGAGGCGCGTCTCTGACGACGCGTACATTGCCGCCGCCCCCGGCGAAGTATATTCCTCGAAGTGACTTACATGCATATAGATGTGGCGGACGATTTCCTCCTTTTCCTCTGGGGAGTCGTCGGGCCAGGCGTTTTCTACCCACATGTCCATAATGATTTTGTCTGTAAAAATGTCAAAATCAAGTGGTTCTCAAGGGCTTACACCACAGTCAGTTGACATGCATATCTTAGAGCGAGCACAAACGATATCACAAATATTCGCGGTACTATAACGAACTGATTATCCCAAATATTTCCCCCCTTGCCTACGTGTTGCATAAGTACGTGAACGTGTTGCGAAGCGCACATTTGCGAAAGCAACTGTTCCTCTGAAGACAATGCTCCATGAGAGCCGTCTGAGTGTGGTTGAGTGTTTTTTTTTTGTGCACGCTATGGTTTTCAATTCTATGAAGTGCACAGTCGATACATAGGAGGGAGAACGCCTTTTCAGCAACTGTCTCCCAAAAGACTGAGTTCCCTTTTTCCGAAATGGTTTGAAACATTGCTTCCGTCTCTATGGTTATTTAGAGATTCTTAGCAACTTTTAGACTGTGCCAGCCAGAATGAAGGTTATAGAGGTCAAGCTGGTTAATTAATGAAGTTAGTAGTTGAGCTTGTACTTTGAATAAGTCGACGCTGTTTAGTGTTAAAAGTCATCTTCGCGTGGCAGTCAAGACCTGGAAAATTGTAGAAAAGCTAATAATTATGACGTGTGGTGAAATGTTGTAGAATGCATTCCTGTACCAGCGTATTTCGGATTTCACTATTACAATATCGACCACATGTCTATATATATATATATATATATATATATATATATATATATATATATATATAAAATAGGTTCTCGCTTATATACATTCGTACGGAGGTGAGTAAAACGCTGATTGCTTCCAAAACCAAAAAGCGTCGAAAATTTAAGGAAAAGCGGGAATCTAGATGTTGATAACTCTATTCTAAACATCGCAAAGATCTCTTGAAGAATGTTCATAGGAACGAAAACAACAATGTTAATGGATGTTTCGAAAATATGTTTGTTAGGCGTGGCGATTACATTGCGCAGTGATTGTTCAGCGTTTGAACGTAAGAATACCAGTGAATGTATTTTAGCGCTTTACTTACTAGAGCAGGGGCGTAGCCAAGGGAGCCCCCCCCCCCCCCCCGCCCTCCCCCCTCCCTTAGGCCCGGATTCCTCTTTATCATCATAGACGTATCCTGACAGAAAGTCAAAGTTCGGCGCGGTGCGTGCTCCCCGAGCTCCGGGCCCTATCTTCAAGAAAATACTGGCTGCGCACGTATGCTGAACTCGCTTACAATTTAGGAATAGACCTCGGTACTGGTCCACCAGTCCGTGAACGCTGTCCAGAATGTTCTGCTTCGTTGTCTTCGTTGAGTCTGGAAAGGGTCGCGCAGCTTGTTAAAGGCCTTTGCAGCTGGATTTATCGTATATCTTTGCTGCTGTGAGCACGAATGTAAAGAGGAATTTAGGGAAGCGACAAAAATATTATCCATCAAACATTTACGGAAGGAAAACAGGTATCAAGGCGACTAAACGAAAGCGAACAAATGATATGATAATAACCAAATGACACGTATATACACCTGTATATGTATATGGGTATAAATATATAAATACATATATGCATATATATATATATATATATATATATATATATATATATATATATATATATATATATATATATATATATATATATATATATATATATATATATAGACCTGGAAAATATATATATATATATATATATATATATATATATATAAGTGTGTGTGTATATATATACATATATATATACATATATATATATATATATATATATATATATTATATATATATATATATCGCATGATACTCTTCCAGCGAAGGCACCTGAAAAGTGCCTCGTCATGGTCATTTACTGCAACGGACCATGAATCGGGAAACAATCGAACATAAGTTGTTCAGCTTTCTTCCCTAAATTATGTGCGCAAAAAAAAAATGTTCCCGAGGATGGAACATGCCCACGTCCCCGATAAAATTGCAGAAGTTATCCAGGGCTCAGTCCAGCGATGATTCTGCCCCGCTTAGACAGGACAACAACGTCACCAGTCGCAATTCACTGTCTGCTGTAAGGCGCGACTCATTCGTCTGCGTGGCCAGCGCGGGTGCGTACTCAGTGCGAGTCGGAGGTTGATGGCCAGGGCGGTGGCTGCGGCCTGCTGCAGCCTGCCCGACTGCTCGGCCAGCTCCTGCAGCTTCAGCAGCCGCACCCAGGGCAGCAGCACGTCCAGCCGCACCACCTGCAGTCGCTGCTGCAGCGTCGTCTCGAATTCGGCCAACACGGCACCGTGCTCGGTTGCGATGCCCTGCCTGCGCGCCAGGAAGGCTCAGAAACGAACGACGGGCGAGAAACGGTGCAACATGGGCTACGCCCAGGCGCAACATGCGGTAACGCGCAGGCGCAGCTGGCGGCGACGCGCAGGCGCAACTTGCGGGAAGGCTCAGTAGCGTACAGTATGGCCGATCGCGCGGTGCAAAGACTGAGATGAGATGTGATGGGTATTAGCATTTGTCATCTGTGTCTCAGCTGGGTTTACGGGCGCATGGATCTTTATCCCAGGTGCGGTTGGTTGCTGTACATACATTGTACGTGCAACTGCATGATGCCATTCACATCAACATACAGGAGAACGACGGCAAGATTTTAGTCAGCGTTTCAATGCCCGATCCAGATACTTTGCGACATCGAAGCAGCCTTGTCTGTTCACAGAGAAATCAGGCAAAACTGGATGGATGTTTTTTCTATTATTTTCATTTAAACGCGTCCTCCAGTCCTTACCCCAACAGATATCTATCCAGTATCTCAGGTACTGCTCTTAGATATTTCAGTATATTGACGTATTTGTCCAGCTGATCTGTAAAGAAAGACAAGAAACGCTGCATGCAATGATTCAATGTTCGGTCGGCTCCAGATTAATAATGGAATATTGAAGTGTGTTAACATCACTGACATTATCACTTTAGCATTGGCATCACGGAAAATTGCGTATGTTGTATCTCGAGCACACAACAGGAGAGAACTAGGCATGTGGACGATACCAAACTGTCAATTCGCGTCTTCTCCTTAGCAGACAGGACACGTTGCCAGCAGATGGTAATTACGGGGTTAGACACGCCCGCACGCACGCACGCACGCACGCACGCACGCACGCACGCACGCACGCACGCACGCACATACGCACAGACACACATTGGACTGACGACCACCTCATTCAGTGGACACATCACAACGCACGCACGGAACGGCGTCTCAAAAATGCACATAATATCCTACCATGACCAGCGACTCACCACACAACAGATGGTAGATAACACCACTATGGTAGACAGATACGCGATGTGGGACGACGACATGTGCTCGAGGCTGCACATATTCACGCGACATGGACCCATTCACCAACGGGCCGGTCAACGCGCAGGGAACCCAAGCCCTCTACGAAGGATAAGGGATAATACAAGGTTAGGCATATTACACGGACAAGATGAGACATACTATGAAAAAAGACATCATGCAGATACGACAGAAAGACCGATATGCAAAAGGCATTGCACCTTTAAAGAGGTCATTAAGAATGTGAAGATTTCAGCTGGGGCGCTTTAGCTGTTCGAGATTGTCTTCCATGATTTTGCTGCGAAGTGTTTCACGTTGGATGCCTAGCACGTATCGTATGTTCTTAGAAATGGAAAATGAAAAGAATTCCGCTAGCGCTGTGTTCCGCCTCGTAGCTACGGTGGGTAGGCTTGACTATTCCGTCAGTTTGTCAGTTCATCACAAACCATGGTGGTTGTTACCTATCATTATCAGGTGTGATAAATGTAATTTAGGTTACATGTTTTGAGACTGTTACCGTGCTGATGGAACGTCGATGGCATGCAAGGAGCTTCGAGAGAAATGTGGTCTGCTTGGACTTTGCTCAAAAGGAGTTTTGCTTCTATCCTAAACAATCACAGCCATCGGAAGGCAATCGCTTAATCCGCCAGATCGAAAATGCATCTCAGAAGAATATAAACAACGACGTCACTTGTATTTTAACGACCAGTGTATACCAAAATATATGGCTCCAAAATCTAATGATATATGCGTATGTGTGCATGGAAACTATTTATGACAGCAAATGTGTTACGAAATGTTGTCTTCGTTTTGAAATATTGAGCAGGAGATATGAAATTTGGTGCTATATGGGACAACTTTGCATAAAAAGCACCCGCATACATCAATATAGGTATATATATATATATATATATATATATATATATATATATATATATATATATATATAAGGCATCATTATAAGCATCAATATTCATCAACGCCCACATTGTGACGCTGCGATAGCAATATAAGGAGCAACCAATACCAGCTCTCACTAACAGACAGCTGTGTAGTTACAGTCCGGACGGCACGCGCAGTCTCCGGGGGAACACTTGCAAGTGTACATCACATTGCATTGCTTCAGCAGAAGTGTGTCACGAGTGAAGGGATGGTGTCGTGGGATTTCGGTAAAATATAATTAGTCCTAGCCGGGCCCCTGGGAATGTCGGCTTACATTGTCTCCTGGGGGTTGATCTAATGAACTCTTCATCAACCGTGTAAGCCTCGGGACATTGCATGCTTATAGCACAGTTTGTGCTCTGTAACGTCTAGTGTAGTCGCGGTAGGGCTTGGACAGGTTAAGCGCTTCTGTCGCGTGTGTTTGTCGGTGGACTGAATAGGGTAATTGTTGGTCAGCATTTGCTTTATTTCCTGCAACTCTAAACGCGCAAATTTCCACGACGAAGAATGCTGTACCACCTTGTTCACAGCAGCTTCTATGACGCCATCTTTGTATATTGTTAGCTCTTGAACCGTCAGCTCCCTGCATTTCCCTGTTGTGTTTACTGTGGTGCTAAAACAGGCATGACTACCCGCTTTATGATTTTTGTCCTTCAATTGTGAATTTGTGCGGCAAAAAAGCGAAGCTTTCCTGATGAAGTCTTAAATGGAGATGAAACGATAAAGCCAGCTCTGTTATTTCAATGCCCTAATGTGAGATACCATATAGATGCATATATACGTATGCTGAGGAGTTTTGTGCTTGGGCTTATCCCACTGGCCGTACGAAGTTTCGCCATTCAAGCAAGCGACTAATCAAGTGCCGGAGTTCGACTAAGTGTTGCGGCCGGCAGGTGCCGTCACAGATACAAGGCTGTCGCTGCTGAAGTCACAAGTATGACAACAGCTGACAGCGCATGCGGTGAAATTGCGAATTAACAGGTACATTAGCGCTAAACGATTTCACAGTCACCAAGTGCACAAACTTCTGCCTAACCAATGACCACATAGCCCTAAGCTTTCCCCTCCTTCTGTTCTTTAACTTTGACACATTAAGCATATGGTGCTGCACGAAATAATTGCCTCCAGCAACGGGTTTGCACCTCCCTCTTGAGACCTTGCTACGCTTATGTGCAAACATGACGTGCCGACGGCGACCGTCACCTTTGTTGACGTCGTCGACCTTCTCGCGAAGGACCTCCATGATGGCTTGCGGCCCGAAGGCGTGACACGAGGACGGCTTGGCGAGGGGGTGACGACCGGCGGCGCCTAACACGCTCCCTTCGCCCGCCACCGCTGCGGCCAGCATCTGCCGAGACAGGGGCTGCACCACCGAGATCGGGCTACACCACGTGTCCCAACGTCACATCGTGCTGAACGATCGCCTCTCGTGACAACCGGTGGCGTGGTATCCAGCTGGTTACTAGGATCTGGTGCAGATTGTTTCGAATGATTCATTCGGCATTCCTAGATGGTATGAAGGCTCAGGAGCATGTTACAGCAAAAATAATAAGAAAAATTAAGAAGTGTTAATTTATCACACCGTAAAGGAACGAGGTTAAAAGCACTCGGACAATGGTTCTTAAGGCATGCGATGCAACGGATGTGAGTTGTCTGCACCAAAAACGGGCGTTTTGCTGGAATGAGAAACGGAACAAGGTAGGTAAGTGAAAAGAAACAAAAAAAAGCAGAGAAAGAGAGAGAGGGGGGGGGGAATGAAGAGAGATTGACAAGAAGGGAGAGAGATAAGTAAAGGAGAGGAGAGGGGCTCCGGAGTGAAGTAAGGAGATACGTGAGTGAAGATCTGCAAAATCCGTACCACAACGACGAAGCACAATTCCGAAAGTGCTCGACGGTTCAAAGCCATGCTTCAGGCACTCTTGCAACCATAGAACGTTTCACAAAATCACCAGTTTCTTCTCTCAGACAGTTGATATCGCTGGCCGTTTTCAGACAGATGCGGGTCGCAAGCGGCGCGGCCACTGCGTGCGGCGAAACACCAGCGCACTGTAAGCGCTTCACGCTCGTCCACGTGAAGCTGCGGGCCGAGTGTACTCGACTCAGCGGCCGCCACGTGGGTAGACATTTCGGGGGACTTCTGGTGTCACAGGACTATCGATCGGTCGAGCAAATGCCAGTCGCCGGCGGTGAGTGTCTGGCGCCCTTTGCGTCTGTCAGAATGGGGACCGGCCACTGGTGTGGCGGTGCAGCGGCGCGCGACGGCGGTGACGTTGGAGAGCCTGTCTACTCATCGGTGCGGTATCCAGATCCTGACCACTGGGTCGCAATTAGTGAATGACCTTTGTTCGCTATTATGTGCCTCTTAGTCTCTTAGGATTAGCGAGGCTAATGACAAAATTCTCACAGATGATCCGGATATAGCAGAATTATTTAATTGCGTCTTCACTGAAATTGGACAAAGTTAAAGGACAAGATTCCTAACTCATCATTCAACCCCCTCCAGCTCATCGTAAATGCAGAAAATGAAATGGATCTGCCACACACTAGTGAAGAGGAATAAATTCGTCATCAATGAATCTAGCATTGTTGGAGCTGAAGTTGACGACATAAATACAGACATTCAAGTTGTCTTATAGGGTAATACTCAAAGTAGTTCTTCACCTTTTCAACAGCTGTTTATATCAGGGATATTTCCAGACATTTTCAACAAAGCCGTGATGAAATCCATCTTCAAAGTGGGAGCTCTAAACTTGTAAATAATTACAGACCTATCCGTATTTTGTCGTTTATGTCCGAAATTCTCGAAAAACTTACAAGCAGTAGACTCATCCTTCATCTAAAGCAAAGTCGCCCAATTCACCAAAATCCGTCCGGACTTCGGATGAGCAAAGTACATGCATGTCACTTATTCTTCTCCAGGAAACTATCACTTGGGCTTTTGAAAACGGAGAATATGTGCTTGGACTGCGTTTAGATTTGAAAAAAGCATTTGACACGGACAACATAAACTTTTTTCTAGGCAAACTTACGAAATACGGTATCCGACGAAAATCTCAAGAAACCGTTTCTTCTTATTGGCCTGGCAGAACTCAAGCCGTCAAAATCAGGACTCATCTATTATCATTCAAAAACGTGACGATGGGCGTACACGCAGGATCAATTCTCGGCCCAATTCCATCTACAATATACATAAATGACTTGCCTACGTTAAGCAGTAACACGATTTGCCTCGCCCACGCTGCTGATACTGCGATTTTTTTCAAAAATAAAAGTATTGTGAAACTACAAAACCGCGTCAACGCAATTTTGCTTCTAACGCCTTCCTGGTTTAGTGCTAATTTTCTTTCACTGAACGTTTCTAAAACATTCACTCAGCATTGCATTACACTTTTTCGCATTTCCAAATAAACGTGCAAATTAATACTTCATCTATTGAAGAGGAAAAAATCCAGCACCTTGGCGCGCTCATTGACAAATCTCGTAAGTTTATGCATCAAATGAATTTTGTTGCAGGCATATTAGGTAGAAATATGGGAATAATAAGTAGGGTTAGGTGCTTTATTGATAAAACGTCATATCTACTTTACAAAAATTTGAATTCTTCCTTATTTAAATCATTGCTGCTTGGTTTGGGGTTAAATTAAGCTTCTCAACTACACCGGTTGGTGGTTTTGCAAAAAAGGGTTGTGCGTCTGATAGAAAACGTGTACCCTCCAAAAACATCTGAGACAACCTTTAAACGATACCAAATTTTGGAATTATCGAATATCGCTAAATTCCAAATGTTAATTGCGATGCACAAATTTCAAGATGCACAGCCTTCTGCATCATTCGATGTAACATACAAGCTCCACGAATCAAATGAAATGGATATGAAGCGTGTAAAACATCTAGGTCAACCTTTCTCTAATCGCAATTATGGACTATTTAAAACATCTTGCCTTGACCCTATGATGTGAAACGATATTATGATCCCATATTTTCCAGGAGTAACTGATATAACTGCATCAGAAAGCATCATTAAGAAGATCATCCGCAAGCATTTTGTGAAATGCGTATTAACGTAACCAACTATGTCAAGATATTGCAATTTTTGCCCTGCGCGTATGCCAACTCACTTCATATTCAATCTTGCTTTATGTTCCATAATCACATCCTGGGACCGCTATATTCATGCACTTGTACCCAAATTCACGGCGCTGGCTCCGGGAGCTCTCCCAGCAACAATCTCCGCTTGGTTGGGTAGACTCCCAGGACATCCAGCTCAAAACCCAGCACGAAAATGACCAGTTAATTACCCCTCCGACTCGTGTGTCTGTACATCCCATCCTAATACTGTGAACGAGTGGTTGTAGTTTACTGGATGGCTATAGCGTGCTGTTATTAGCTGACCTTGGCTATGACTACTTTAAGCCTTCTCATATATGACTGTCCTTGCCTATCGCATAACACAATGCCTACCGGGTCTGCACCACCTCTTCGTCTGCTTCTTTATGTTTGTTTCCTCTTCTCAGCTGGGAGTGCCGCGACTTGATTTTATGTTTTCTGGTGCTCAAGTACGGTTTATTGCGTCGCTGGGATAGAGGGAAAGGCACTCCTGGTTACTTGTTCTTGGGTAACGGTATACAAACGTGCCATTTTCGGCACCCAATATTTGTAGTCGTTGGCTGCTGGATTGTGCTAATTTGCCTGTCAACGTCGCTTCCAGTTTTCTCTGTTTCAAGCTAAGGTTCTGTCATATGGGCACTTAATAAGTGTATAATAAGTGTAATTTACTGAGTGTATAAGAACAGAAGATAAGCGTGATAAGATGAGATAAGATGAGAATGGCATAAGGCACTATTCATGTCACGTACTCTAAATTTTTAGTCCATGCAATATTCCGTTCCTGTTGTTAACAGATGTGTGCCTTGTTGTCGTGCTTCCAGCCTACATAGATACGTACTATCGCTCACAAACCACTTTCGACCGTTCCTAAACATATGTGCGACATCAAGGAAGAAAAATGTGCAGCAGTCGTATTGTAAAAATAAGCATGATGGGCTTTCTGCTTAATTTCATGAAGTATAATGTTGGGAATAACTGGATCCGAAGGCACTTATTTTGTGTACAAAAGGCTTTAAATGCGTATATGACAAATATCTTCATGATGAATGTCTAAATGTCTAATGTTTCTGAAATATGGTTCAAAATAATATTGGAGGCTAATTCGGATAACATAGTGACCTAGTTTGACGCTTGATCTCGTTCTCCGAACTACATGATTTCTGTTATTTTCTTTACACCTATACTGTCGGAAAGATCATATTTAGATCGGTTGCAAATAGAATTTGAACAATGGTGGATACGCACGGCAGTACGTTATGACCCGGCCAATCATAGGGCGCGATCAGCTTACTCCGCCTGAAACTGTGACCGCGTCCCTGAAACCATTCATTTCTAGTTTAAACTAGCTCCTTGGACGTTCTTCTAGAGTTCTAAAACATGTTTGAATGACGCATTTCTGTTAATCGACCGCTCATACTTGCTTTTACTAGCTTACTAGCGTACTAGCTTCCTCTTACTAGCGTTCATATTAGCTGCGTACATGGCAACGTCGTGCGCTCCTATTCATCACAGCACATCGACAACTATCATTCAAAGGTGAGCAGGCAGCCCAGTATGACAAGAAAAAAGACTGGTCTGAAGCTACATTATTTTGTCAAATTCGGCCTTGAGCCAGAGCAGTCGCCTTTTATGCTCGGTCAGCACGCCTGGAAAGGCACAAATGGAATTAGACACGGCACGCGTGTAATCCGACACGACCTACGATTGAACCAGACCGGCTCAAGAGAGGGTCAGTGTATATAATGCCGTGTTGCTGGGAGTTCCCGAAAATGGAGAACTACGGTTTCAGCGCTTTCGGTAAATGCCTCTAGATAATGCTTAATAAAAAATAGAGTGAAATAAGTCGACCAAATACAGAAGTTATTGTGTGGCGGAGCGATACTGGCAAGAACGGTGCACGCCACTCGCCATCATCACGACAAGAGTTGATGGCTTGATACAAATATGCAGGACTGCCATATCAAACTGAACACAGTTGCAAACCGATTTTACCTGGAGCACAAAGCAGCAAGCAGAAGCTTGTCACAAAACTGTCGGCAGTTGTCTTGACAACTTCGCTGTAATGGGTGTGGTAGAAACTGGCGATAAGTCGCACACGGCTTGTTAGAAAAAACATCGTCATCCGCCGTTTCAAATATTGATGCAATCCAGTCAGCGAATAAGCGCATAGAAGCCACAGATTCTGTGGACACAAAGTCTGGATACTTCAGCCACGGAAGTGAAGTGCGAGCCCGGATCGTGAGATCATCATCGCGCGACTCAGGTCGATTCATGGCTCATGATTTCCGCGATCACGACTGCAAGGTGCACCATGGAACAGTTACACGCAGTAATGCCCACGATTCGGAAAAATCCCGTCCATCTATATGCGCAGGAAATTACGTGAGTGGTTCGGTGCATTAACGAGGAGCATTATTCACATAGATAAGACCTCAGTATTAGCCTCATTCCTCGGAAAAACCAGGAGAATGGAGACATAGTTGAGTTGACATTCCTGCAACACGTCTTTATCGAAACAATAGCAGCAGAAGTGTTGATAAAGGCATGTTGCCGAAACGCCAACCCAGCTACATCTCCATTCTCCTGTTTTTTGTCTTTTTATCCGAGGAAGGAGTCTAATACTACTGTCTTATCTACATGCGAACGATTTTACGCCTTTGTCCATGCGAACGCGCAACAAGCGGGATGAGCGTGACCCGTATCCTCACCACCCCCATCATGTCTGCGTGTCAGCACGCTCCCCCCCCCCCCCCCCCCCCCCCCCGGCGGCCGGCGTGATATCACACGCTCGGGTGGAGATCAAATTGTCCCCAGCATCTCCAACACTAAGAGAGCTAGAAGCATCAAATTCAAAGTGTGGGTTGGTCTGTACGTGAACTCGCTTGTGTCAGTTCGAGGTGTCTAGGTAAA